AGTGGCCGCTAACAGATCCCATGGATCACTGTAATGTGCACGTCATTACGTTTTATTGCCCTGGGAAAACCAATCAGTGGGTCTGATATCCATGATGGCTCCTGCATCACTAAACGCCAAGAGAGTAAACGCCGTGATAAAACTAGACCAATGTTCAAACCAATGTTCAAGGTGTAGGGGCTGTGTGGTAGCCGAGTGATTAAGCGTTCGCTCGTCACGCCGAAGACGCGGGTTCGATTGTGATTTTGTGTGCACAACGTGTGAAGCCCACTTCTGGTGTCCTCCGCTGTGATATTGCAGAAATATTGCTAAAAGCGGCGAAAAGCTAAACTCACTCACTCACTCACTCCAACCCAATAAGTGTCCCACTAAAAAATTGGTCGTAATTTCATTGTCCATATCACTACTGATATAGCGGGCGGTGGGTTAGCCTAACGGTCAATTATAAGGCTTTCGCTCGTCACGCTGGAAACCCGGGTTCTATTCCCTCACGAGTACAATGTGTGAAGCCCATTTCTGGTGTTCCCCGCCGTGATATTGCTGGAACATTGCTAAAAGCGGCGTAAAACTAAACTCACTAACTCACTCACTCCAACAGGCTTCCACTATACTAACCCACTCACTCACTCACCCCAACAGGCTTCCACTATACTAACCCACCCACCCACTCACTCACTCAGGTGCCCCACTATACTGCCCTACTCACTGCCAGTATAAAACATCATAGCGTGTCCAGGCGGCGCTCCACGCCATCAGCCTGACTTGCAACTAACATTTAATTTTGGCATTTGCGTAATCACTAGTTGATTAGTCATTAATGATCAGTTTTTATTGCTTAATCAAATTTAGCATTTGCATTTGACATTGAATCATATTACAACAAATATATGGCTGTAGGGCACCACGATCAGGAATCCTGGGGCGCCACTGGTAATACATGTTTGTGGTGTGATTATCTATGTGACCTTTCACTCTCTCAGACTGACTCACACACGATCTGTGCCTGTGTTGAAACGCCGCAAATAATATGTCACGCGTAACATCCAATAAAAATGTTTTATAGTACTTATATGTTTTGAGAATGGCACTTAATAATGAGGTATATTGTTAGTTTTCACAATTTTTAGAAGATATTTTAAGCATTCACATCAAAATGCGAGTGAGTGAGTGAGTTTAGTTTTACGCCGCTTTTAGCAATATTCAAGCAATATCACGGCGGGATACAAAAAAAATGGGCTTCACACATTGTAAACATTGTTGAATCGAACCCGGGTCTTCGGCGTGACGAGCGAACTCTTCAACCACAAGGTTAAACGAAGGTACACTTCCGACAAACTCATGAAATTTTACAATTTAAATGAAAATGTTTCTTAACAGTGATTCAGCTGCTAATTAGTCTGGTAACTTGACTGTGGTAATTGACCAGTTAAAACTAGAATCATTCATAACCATTTATGAATTATTAATAACTATTTATGATGATGTTTTAGCAATATTCCAGCAACATCACGGTGACTATGTGGGGAAAATTAATGGCCGTTAACAGTATATGTATCTTTGCTAGTTACTGTATGGTTATATTCATATATCAACGTTATATCAACGTTAGTCACAATCTTCCTCGGACGGACGGTGGGGTAGCCTAGTAGTTGAAGCATCCGCTCGTCACGCTGAAGACCCCGTTCGAATCCCCACATGGGTACAATGTGTGAAGGCAATTTCTGGTGTCCCCAGCCGTGATATTCCTGGAATATTGCTAAAGGCAGCGTGAAACCACTCACTCACTCACTCACTCACTCACCAGCTTTCGGGTATATAATACAACAAAGATGACTTTCAATAACTGATCTGTGTATCTAGAACGCCTAGTACCACGGACCCGTGAAGATCCGGGTTAGAATTGATCTTCAGCAACCCATACATGTCATAAGAGGCCACTAAATGGATCAGGTGGTTAGGCTAACTGACGCATTGACACAACGAACGCCGTGCATCACATCTCATTCAGCAACACAAACAGAAAGAAGCGACTCACCTGGCTCGTCACGCTGGAAACCCGGGTTCTATTCCCTCATGAGTACAATGTGTGAAGCCCATTTCTGGTGTTCCCCGCCGTGATATTGCTGGAACATTGCTAAAAGCGGCGTAAAACCAAACTCACTAACTCACTCACTCCAACAGGCTTCCACTATACTAACCCACTCACTCACTCACCCCAACAGGCTTCCACTATACTAACCCACCCACCCACTCACTCACTCAGGTGCCCCACTATACTGCCCTACTCACTGCCAGTATAAAACATCATAGCGTGTCCAGGCGGCGCTCCACGCCATCAGCCTGACTTGCAACTAACATTTAATTTTGGCATTTGCGTAATCACTAGTTGATTAGTCATTAATGATCAGTTTTTATTGCTTAATCAAATTTAGCATTTGCATTTGACATTGAATCATATTACAACAAATATATGGCTGTAGGGCACCACGATCAGGAATCCTGGGGCGCCACTGGTAATACATGTTTGTGGTGTGATTATCTATGTGACCTTTCACTCTCTCAGACTGACTCACACACGATCTGTGCCTGTGTTGAAACGCCGCAAATAATATGTCACGCGTAACATCCAATAAAAATGTTTTATAGTACTTATATGTTTTGAGAAATGGCACTTAATAATGAGGTATATTGTTAGTTTTCACAATTTTTAGAAGATATTTTAAGCATTCACATCAAAATGCGAGTGAGTGAGTGAGTTTAGTTTTACGCCGCTTTTAGCAATATTCAAGCAATATCACGGCGGGATACAAAAAAAATGGGCTTCACACATTGTAAACATTGTTGAATCGAACCCGGGTCTTCGGCGTGACGAGCGAACTCTTCAACCACAAGGTTAAACGAAGGTACACTTCCGACAAACTCATGAAATTTTACAATTTAAATGAAAATGTTTCTTAACAGTGATTCAGCTGCTAATTAGTCTGGTAACTTGACTGTGGTAATTGACCAGTTAAAACTAGAATCATTCATAACCATTCCAATTATTAATAACTATTTATGATGATGTGGTGACTATGAGAAAATTAATGGCCGTTAACAGTATATGTATCTTTGCTAGTTACTGTATGGTTATATTCATATATCAACGTTATATCAACGTTAGTCACAATCTTCCTCGGACGGACGGTGGGGTAGCCTAGTAGTTGAGGCATCCGCTCGTCACGCTGAAGACCCCGTTCGAATCCCCACATGGGTACAATGTGTGAAGGCAATTTCTGGTGTCCCAAGCCGTGATATTCCTGGAATATTGCTAAAGGCAGCGTGAAACCACTCACTCACTCACTCACCAGCTTTCGGGTATATAATACAACAAAGATGACTTTCAATAACTGATCTGTGTATCTAGAACGCCTAGTACCACGGACCCGTGAAGATCCGGGTTAGAATTGATCTTCAGCAACCCATACATGTCATAAGAGGCCACTAAATGGATCAGGTGGTTAGGGTAACTGACGCATTGACACAACGAACGCCGTGCATCACATCTCAGACAGCAACACAAACAGAAAGAAGCGACTCACTGTTGCATAAACACATCTGATTCATGCAGAGACGGATCCAGACCTTTGAAGCGGTTTGTGCTTGTTTTTCATATATACTTTTTTGTCTTCTTCTTCTTCTTCTTCTTCTTCTTCTTCTTCTTCTTCTTCTTCTTGTGGGGCGGTAGGGTAGCCTAGTGGTTAAAGCGCTGGCTCGTCATGCCGAAGACCCGGGTTCGAATCCCAACATGGGTACAATGTGTGAAGCCCATTTCTGGTGTTCCCCGCCGTCATGTAGCTAGAATATTGCTAAAAGCGGCGTAAAACCAAACTCAGTCAGTCAGTCTTCTTCTTGCCGCTGCTGTTTAACGCCACAGCGACATTTCAGCTTTATGACGGCAATATGCATCAAGCACGTCAATCAGCCTGGGTACCCAATGCCGTTGGTCTCCTCTTACTTACGTCCCCTTCTTGCACCCGTTCCATGGACCGTCTCCCCGTTCCTTGCCCGACCTTTAACAGCCGCTTCTCTGACATGTTCCTGGGTCGAGTAGTCAGGCTCGCTGACTTGGTTGATCATATGTCATCGTATCCCAATTGCGTAGATCGATGCTCATGTTGTTGATCACTGGATTGTCTGGTCCAGACTGGATTATTTACAGACCGCCGCCATATAGCTGGAATATTGCTGAGTGCGGCGTTAAACAACAATCAAACCAATGTTGTTGCGTAGGTGCCAACTTGTGACCTCTGTGACGAGTCGCTTCTTAACGCACCGTGATGGCGGAATGGCACGAGCTGTCATGAATGTGCATCGGCCTGACCGATTATGAATGCTAGCGCTGTAGTGAGTCATGCAAGAATGTGCAACTTGTCACAACAACTGTAACAAGCCTATACCAGATCCTCGTTACTCCAAATATTTATCACCCTGCAATACTTGAATAGTCCTGAAATATTCAATTTAAACATACTTCCTTGGCTTTGGCCTACTTAAAGGCATCATTATCACAGTATTATCATGCAAATATCATTATACAAATGATAAAGATTTATATGACTTTAAAACAATATCATGTAATTGCTAAATAATTTAAATATAAACATTGGACCTTCACTTTTATAATTAGTTAAGAAAAATTAATGTCGAACACTAACTGTGGACTACAATAATATAGAAAATCATTTTAATCATAGGTTATGACAAAGCATTTTCACACAGCATTAAACATATCTTGCAAAAGTAGACTTTATCGCGGTAGTTTATATACAAATATATATATACATTAATTACATCGTTCATAGTATTGTAATACTTATAAATATCCAGTGCTTGAAAAAGACTGGGAAATGTAGAAACACAAAAGGTTTACAACGAGATAGTGTTATGATAACAACGATGTGAAACGCATTCCACACAATGATTTCTCCCTTGGCAAGGATTCCCCTCAGCCTCGTTATCAAAAGGGCTATCCCAAATAGAGAAAACAAAGTGCGTGAAGAATTTTTCTCGGGCCGACATTACAGTCGTATTATGGGATATTTTGATATGTTGTTGTGGACGATGATTTAGAGCGACTGGATCATCAAGAAAACATTTAAATCATGACATGACACATGAAAGGAAGTGGGATCACGATAATTTTTCGAAGCCACGGACACCAGTTCAGCAAATCATCTGGTAGTGTTTGCCCTGTGCTTTGAAACCAGTGTGAAACAACATATGCCAGTTGAATCTGGGTGACAATTTTTATCATGAAGTACAAGTTCATGCAATTTGAATAGTGCGAATAACACGAACTAGTGATTTTTTCATATGCCTGAACATTTCATCAGAGGAAAAGCCTAAATTGATGGAGTAATTAACATAAGTCATTTCATGTATGGTTGAGTGATCAATTTCAACATTTAAACTGACTGACGCAAACAAGTGTTGACAATGCCAGGGAAGACCCTCCCGGTGAATCCCAAACTCGCCGGCGTTCCCGATGTGGAGATCGGGGACACTGGGGTGTTCAAGTACATTCTGTGTAAGATATACGAAGGAGCAAACACAAGCGACTTTAAGTATATTGTGAGGGGGGTACCAAGTGCTGAGTTCCACGGTAAGACATACATGAACAGACCATAACGTACGCAGTACAATGTATATTGTGTAACACAACCCTGTGGTAGGAATCTTGGCAGGTGCGCGAAAGATGGTAGTCTGTGAAGTGAAGGTTGATGTTTGTACGCGATGTTCCACCAAGCAGCATGGGAAACGTACTATGTACCTTCTCCTATGATTCCTGTGCTTTTGCTTATGGCTTGTAGCCAACAAAACATGAAAGGTCACAGAATCGTGATGGTTGTAGTATTATGCACTTGTAGTGAGATGTGTTTTTTATGCCAAGCCTACTCACTGTGCAGGATGTGTTTTTGTACAGGGATACAGTGAAACCATAATAATCCGGATGGTTGCTGTGAAATCGTCCGGATTATTAAATGTCCAGATCGAAGGACTGCTGAGATCGAAGGACTGCTGAGGCCATGTTTCCGGGTTAATAGTTTCTCTGTAAAAGGGTCTAGGGCGTAGTCTAGTAGTTAAAGCGTTTGCTCGCCACGCGGAAGACCCGAGTTCGATTCCCACATGGAATGTGTGAGCCCCTCTTTGGTGTCCTACACCGTGATATTGCTGGAATGTTGGTAAAAGCGGTGTAAACGTACACTCACTCATTTCTCTGTAAAATTAATCGACACTATAAAAAAGATAGTGGGTGTAGCTTTTTGCAACTCAGAAAAGCAGAGAAGGGGGTCAGTAAATCAGATACTGTGGTGTTGGCATACATCACATGAGCTTTATTCACACCTGTATGGTCACTTGAGATTTCCTCTATAAGGAATCGTTTGTATATTACTACAATGGATGAACCCCGTTTGTCATACACCTTTTCATAGATCTCACTTGTCATACAGTCCACTTGAGATAAATCCCCACATTATACACCCCACTTGAGATAAATCCCCTCATCAAACACCCCACGTGTCATAAATACCCTCGTCAAACACCCCACGTGTCATATACCCTCATCATACACCCTACGTGTCAGAAGTCCCTCATCATACACCCCACGTGTCATATACCCTCATCATACACCCTACGTGTCAGAAATCCACTCATCAAACACCCCACGTGTCATATACCCTCATCATACACCCCACGTGTCAGAAGTCCCTCATCATACACCCCACGTGTCATATACCCTCATCATACACCCCACGTGTCATATACCCTCATCATACACCCCACGTGTCAGAAATCCACTCATCAAACACCCCACGTGTCATATACCCTCATCATACACCCCACGTGTCAGAAATCCCCTCATCATACACCCCACGTGTCATATACCCTCATCATACACCCCACGTGTCATATACCCTCATCATACACCCCACGTGTCATATACCCTCATCATACACCCCACGTGTCATATACCCTCATCATACACCCCACGTGTCATATATCATACACCCCACGTGTCATATACCCTCATCATACACCCAACGTGTCATATACCCTCATCATACACCCCACGTGTCATATACCCTCATCATACACCCCACATGTCATATATCCTCATCATACACGCCTGGCGCTCGGCATTAGTGGGAACAACAAGGACTGGTCGGCTGGGTGTCAGTATAATGTGTCTGAGTGGGGTATTCATGCTTCACTGCGGCAAGGTATCTCAGTGAGCTAGCACTATAAAACCAGCTTCAGTCTGGGCTAGTACAAGCAGCCGCAAATACACATACACACGCATGCACGTCGTCATATGAGCGAAATATTCTCAAGCACGACGTTAAACCCAATTTCACCTCACCTCACCTCATCATCATACACCCCACGTGTCATATACCCTCATCATACACCCCACGTGTCATATACCCGCATCATACACCCTACGTGTCATATACTCACATCATACAACCCACGTGTCATTAACCCTCATCTATACACCCCACGTGTCATATACCCACATCATACACCCCACGTGTCATTTACCCACATCATACAACCCACGTGTCATATACCCACATCATACACCCCACGTGTCATATACCCTCATCAAACACCCCACGTGTCATATACCCACATCATACACCCCACGTGTCATATACCCACATCATACACCCCACGTGTCATATACCCACATCATACACCCCACGTGTCATATACCCTCATCATACACCCCACGTGTCATATACCCACATCATACACCCCACGTGTCATATACCCACATCATACGCCCCACGTGTCATATACCCACATCATACGCCCCACGTGTCATATACCCTCATCATACATCCAACGTGTCATATACCCTCATCAAACACCCCACTTGTCATATACCCACATCATACACCCCAGGTGTCATATACCCTCATCATACATCCAACGTGTCATATACCCACATCATACACCCAACGTGTCATATACCCTCATCATACACCCCACGTGTCATATACCCACATCATACACCCAACGTGTCATATACCCTCATCATACACCCCGCGTGTCATATACCCGCATCATACACCCCACGTGTCATATACCCTCATCATACACCCCACGTGTCATATACCCACATCATACACCCCACGTGTCATATACCCTCATCATACACCCAACGTGTCATATACCCTATTTGTACTGTCGTGAAGCAGAATTAATTATGTATGACACCTGGACATTCGAATATGTTCTAAGATTATTCAAGGTAGAAGGTATTTTACTGTTGTGGTGATATGAATTTGGGAGGCGAAAGAGGTATTGAAGGGACAGATTATGACAATATTTTCGATATTAAAATACTGTCACGGATTCCATTTGAAATAGCTGACTGAGGTGAAGGGGAGGGGGGTCCTCTCAGTACCGATAGGGGCGGTAGGGTAAAAGCGTTCGCTCGTCACGTCGAAGAACCGGGTTCGATTCCCAACATGGGTACAATATCCCCGTCGTGATATTGCTGAAATACATGTATTGCTAAAAGCGGCATAAAACCACACTCACTCACTCACTCACTCACTACTCACTCACTCTATTTACAGCTGACATCTACGATGTGCTGGATGCCAAGCTGGAGTCGGAGGGCATCATGTGCGAGTGTGTAGGAGGCGGTAAGATCGAGCACGACCCAGACGCCAAAACTATCAGGATATTTGGAAAATCTCAGGTAAAAGTGCAACTGTCGTTAAAAAAATAACTGCATTTTAACAGAATGCTGATATTGAAAAGTCAATTTTAATCCGACCAATGTATACCTATACTGTATGTAATAACGACATATACGAAACAGTCCCTTAAGGTCACATGCAACGTAAAACACAACTTTGCAGATTCTGATACCTTTCGCTATGAACTTACCGAAACAAATCGTCAAAAATGCAAATTCAACTTATAAAGTTGAAAAATAACGCGATGAAAAAAAACGCGCGAAATCGGAGTTCAAACGTTTCACTAATTTTCCCCAGACTTTTCTGGGGAAAACGGGTTTCAACAGCTGGGCTGCGCTCATAGCACGTGCGCAGTGAAATAGGTTCGCGCAGCTTGGAAGCGGGTTGTCCGGTGAATACTCGGTGAAGGCTTTGGTGTGAGCTATTTTTCTAATGTTTTGTTGATATCTCACAGGCGCGAGCTTTTTTATATGTTATGACAGTAAATTAACTGTTTATATAATTTCACCACACGTTCTTCTTACCGAGTCACTTTCTCAGTTCGATACTTAAAAGCAATGTCATTATTTAGCGTTGACATAATTTCTAACTGTGATATAGATATGTCGTTGTCACAGACAAAACTCAATGTCTTGTTTTATTGACACCTGTGTGTCTGCCTGCCTGTCTGCTAATGACAATATTTAATACACAGCTGCTATCACTGACCACATGCAATTTGAACTTAACACCAATCAGGCTATACACCATAAACAAAATGCTTTGATTTACGGCCCGAGTTCGGTCTCTTTCACATTATGTAATTACACAGACAGGCAGGTGTGATAGTTGAACACTTGACATGTTATGATGTCTGTTGATTGCAAAATGTTGAATGCAAAAAATGAGCATGTATTTACAAAACCCAACATCTCTACATATACACACACAATAAGCCGTGAGGGCATACGCAAATGAACCAGCCGTTACACTTGAGTGCACACCCACCCGCTCTGACTGCGTTCGGTATCCCGGCTGCTTCGTTTCTTGGGAAGTAAACCGAAGTACACAATATTGCACTTTTGATTTGCGATTGTACGCTTATAATTTTGTTTATGTTTTTTCATAACCAGCAATGTATATTATATGTCACGAATAAGTGATAATTGTGTTTTAATTATGTTTGATTTTTTGGTTGCATGTGACCTTTAAACTTTCACTTTCTAGAATACGTCTATAATACAATAAACTAATAACAATATGTGCCCTTGAAATAGTTGTTGTATTTATCTTTGATAGATATTGATCAATATGTCTGAACGGTGTAATATTTGACAGCTAGCATCTCAACGATAATATATAGGACTTACTGAAACGGCGAAAATAATTGTGGATGAAACGTCAACATCATAGAACTTGTCGGGATCAACCAGATAGAAACATGGGTACAATGTGTGAAGCCCATTTCTGGTGTCCCCGCCGTGATATTGCTGGAATATTGCTAAAAGCGGCGTAAAACACAACTCACTCACTCACTTATGTAATGTATTTCCACTAGGTTAACTCTGAAGTGAGAAATATATGAATGGGTTACCGATAATCGGTAATGACACCAGGGTTATCGAATAGGATCTTGCCCTACCTGTAACATCCGCCAAACAAACGATTGATAACGGAAGATTGATGTTGTTAGCCATAATAACGCATGCTTCATTATTGACACACCAACTTCTAGAATCCCGTGAAACAATCTATACGTATATTTGGGGTCACCAGTATGACAGACTAACATCTAAACTATGAAATGAGAGTAAATATGTTTGTAAGAGTCTTTTGAGTAGTATATGAACACGAGAGTATATGGTCTGCTTGGCCAAGCTTCGAGTACAGTCTGGGGCGGTGGGGTAGCCTAGTGGTTAAAGCGTTGGCTCGTCACGCCGAAGACCCGGGTTCGATTCCCCACATGGGCACAATGTGTGAAGCCCATTTCTGGTGTCCCCCGCCGTGATATTGCTGGAATATTGCTAAAAGCGGTGTAAAACTAAACTCAGTCAGTCAGTCAGTCGAGTACAGTCTGTCGTTTTGCCTTGGCAAAAAGAGTGCCATTTCAAGGGAGATAACTCCATATATCCGATAAGCACGTATAGTCATGTTCAAACCCGTAAGGTTATTGGTTCCCAGATTTAGGGAATGGTTTAGCCGGTGGTTGGGCACACTGACGAGGTTTGATAGTGTCCCAACTACGTGGATCAATGTCACCCATCACTGGCTTGTGTGACCCAGGCCTGATTATTCCCACGCCCTCATATAGCTAGAATATTGTTGAGTTTTACGTCCAATAAACAAATCAAAACCTACCAAAGCAGACGACGAAGCGTTATAAAATATCCCTCCTCGGTTCTGTGAGAGTTGAGATTGCTCATCGATTCCTGAGTCGCAAGGTGAGGTGAGGTGAGGTGAGGTGAGGTGAAATTGGGTTTAACGTCGTGCTTGAGAATATTTCGCTCATATGACGACGTGCATGCGTGTGTATGTGTATGTGCGGCTGCTTGTACTAGCCCAGACTTAAGCTGGTTTTATAGTGCTAGCCCACTGAGATACCATGCCGCACTGAAGCATGAATACCCCACTCAAACACATTATACTGACTCCGAGCCGACCAGTCCTTGTTGTACCCATTAATGCCGAGCGCCAGGCAGGGACCAACAAGTACCATATTTTAACGTGTTTTGGTATGACGCGGTTGGGGATCGAACCCGCTACCTTCCGCTCTCCGGGCGGACGCTCTAACCACTACACCACGGAGGCGGTCGAGTCGCAAGGTGAGGAGACAGGGGTGTAGCATAAGTAGCTCAATTCTTTACTACATCGATTCGGAACGTTCGATTTGAACCGAATGAAAAAAATCACGCACACAGAGAAATTCCTTAAATGGGATTCCCATTCTGGGTATGGATGCCATGGCGCTCAGAAACGACACTGTGTACAAAACACGTTTTACCAGGAATCAGCTTGTTTGATACTTCGCTCGTTCTTATTACAAGCAGGATTTGGAAGCCTCGACGCTGATTTTCCTACCCGAAAGTACACCTAACGTGAGCTATAGAGTTGGTCACAGATCTCAACACAGATATGTGTCTTAACCTGCTACATGTTTGTGGAATTATGTATAAAACGTCATGAAAATTGAAAAGATTAGATCATACTAAAGCAAGACTAGTCAGCTCCATTCCGTAGTGTCAGGAGTGAAAGAGTGGAGAAATCATTGTGTTAAGAAAGCTATCGTACCAAACTGGAAATGTTATTCAGGAAAAAAAGAATGGCATGTGTGCCTACCCTTTTAATACGAGGTGGTGGGGTAACCAAGTGGTTAAAGCGTTCGCTCGTCACGCCGAAGACCCGGGTTCGATTCCCCACATGGGTACAATGTGTGAAGTGCATATCTGGTGTCTCCCGCCGTGATATTGCAGGGACATTGCTAAAAGCAGCGTAAAACTAAACTCACTCACTCCTAATGCGATCTTCCCCTTCACACTTTCAGGGCTACGGCCAGGCCAACCACGAGAAGTCTATGCAGATCCTGAGGGACAAATTCCCCGCCTACCACAGTGTGATGTGGACCAATGACTAGACGCTACATCCACCCAGTCGACATGGACGACACTATAGACCTTGGCTGGGTGTGTCTGCAGACAGCGTTTTATAGGAGGGGTCACTGCGGGAATGAATATCATTGGCAGCGTCTTGCTAATTAAACTCTTCTGAATGGTTTAGAAGCATGGTTACCATTTTTTACCCTCCTGACATTCTTGACTCATTTTATTCGATTCCTTTATGCTGTTTCGCCAGGACATGATTCTCAAGAGACTGTCTTCAGCGAGACCTCACAGCTCCGTTTAAAGTCGACGATAAACGAGGGATTATGAAGCAAAGAGTGAGTCATATATTGATGGTAACTGTGTCTCTCTAGTAGCTCGGGTGGTCAATGGGTTGGGTTGGTTACCAACGTTGTGGTTGGTTGCCGCAATTTCCTGCCGCAGTATCGACTCTCCGAATCAGTCTGACCCTTCGTCTACTGAACTCGTTGGTAAACGAATATAACAGGGTGCCGTTGTATAAAGCAGCATTAGCGCCACGACTGTCGTAAGTCTATGTTAAGGTATGGCAGTTACGATCACTTCAGAGCTAACAGCACCGTGCGTCCCATTATGTTAAAAATATATCAGGCCATAGGTGATAATGTGAAATATGCTCGAGTAGCATCAATAGCATCCTCTCTCACTGATCACAGGACTGTAGGGTGGAACGATTACCATATTTCTCAAGTGTGAGTCGGGTAGAGGTTCTACCACAGTACCAAGGTGTGTTGGGTAGAGGTTCTACCACAGTACCAAGTTGTGTTGGGTAGAGGTTCTACCACAGTATCAAGGTGTGTTGGGTAGAGGTTCTACCACAGTACCCAGGTGTGTGTCGGGTAGAGGTTCCACCACAGTACCAAGGTGTGTCGGGTAGAGGTTCTACCACAGTACCAAGTTGTGTTGGGGTGAGGTTCTACCACAGTACCAAGGGGTGTTGGGTAGAGGTTCTACCACTATACCCAGGTGTGTTGGGGTGAGGTCCTACCACAGTATCTAGGTGTGTTGGGTAGAGGTTCTACCACAGTACCAAGGTGTGTTGGGTAGAGGTTCTACCACAGTACCAAGGTGTGTTGGGTAGAGGTTCTACCACAGTACCCAGGTGTGTTGGGGTGAGGTCCTACCACAGTATCAAGGTGTGTTGGGTAGAGGTTCTACCACAGTATAAAGGTGTGATGGGTAGAGGCTCTACCACAGTATCAAGGTGTGTTGGGTAGAGGTTCTACCACAGTATCAAGGTGTTGGGTAAAGGTTCTACCACAGTATCAAGGTGTGTTGGGTAGAGGTTCTACCACAGTATCAAGGTGTGTCGGGGTGAGGTTCTACCACAGTATCAAGGTGTGTTGGGTAGAGGTTCTACCACAGTACCAAGTTGTGTCGGGTACAGGTTCTATCACAGAACCCAGGTGTGTGTCGGGGTGAGGTTCTACCACAGTACCAAGGTGTGTTGGATAGAGGTTCTACCACAGTACCAAGTTTTGCCGGGTAGAGGTTCTACCACAGTACCAAGGTGTGTTGGGTAGAGGTTCTACCACAGTACCAAGAGGTGTTGGGTAGAGGTTCTACCACAGTACCCAGGTGTGTTGGGTAGAGGTTCTACCACAGTACCAAGGTGTGTTGGGGTGAGGTTCTACCACAGTATCTAGGTGTGATGGGTAGAGGTTCTACCACAGTACCAAGGTGTGTTGGGTAGAGGTTCTACCACAGTATCAAGGTGTGTTGGGTAGAGGTTCTACCACAGTACCAAGGTGTGTTGGGTAGAGGTTCTACCACAGTATCAAGGTGTGTTGGGGTGAGGTTCTACCACAGTACCAAGTTGTGTCGGGTAGAGGTTCTACCACAATACCCAGGTGTGTGTTTTGGTGAGGTTCTACGACAGTATCAAGGTGTGTTGGGTAGAGGTTCTACCACAGTACCAAGTTGTGCCGGGTAGAGGTTCTATCACAGCACCCAGGTGTGTGTCGGGGTGAGGTTCTACCACAGTACCAAGTTGTGTCGGGTAGAGGTTCTATCACAGTACCAAGTTGTGTCGGGTAGAGGTTCTACCACAGTACCAAGTTGTGTTGGGGTGAGGTTCTACCTCAGTACCAAGGTGTGTTGGGTAGAGGTTCTACCACAGTACCAAGTTATGTTGGGTAGAGGTTCTACCACAGTACCAAGGTGTGTGTCGGGTAGAGGTTCTACCACAGTACCCAGGTGTGTTGGGGTGAGGTTCTACCACAGTACCAAGGTGTGTTGGGGTGAGGTTCTACCACAGTACCCAGGTGTGCTGGGAAGAGGTTCTACCACAGTACCAAGGTGTGTCGAGTAGAGGTTCTACCAAAGTACCAAGGTGTGTTGGGTAGAATTCTACCACAGTACCAAGGTGTGTTGGGTAGAGGTTCTACCCAGATGTGCGAGTCGTGTATGGGCATTGGCACAGTACCCAGATGATACCTGTCAGGCAAGTATCAATTTGGATATACAGCCTTCATAGAAGCTAAAGGCGAATGTAATTGTTGACAGAACTGATGCGATTCCATATAGAGAAAACTCTCTTCCGTTTAAAGTCCAGGAACTGTTGCCAAAAGTCCCTCATAACCCTGACTATCATAAGTTGCACTGCGGGCCCCGGAGTGACTATTTTTGTACGGCGTAAGATATCGGTTTCTGAAACGGGCCTTCGGTTCTTGTGTAATGGATACCTGTAGTTGTGTGTGGTAGACTGCATACTGACGCTATGCGGTACCGAGCAGGTTAGCACACATTCTCTCCTCTACAATACTAATATATATTCCTGCTAATAGGGCATTTGTACGCATAAGCATGCGTTGTACGAAATAACAAAACCAAAGTGTCCTAACTATACATTACAGTCTCGCAGATCTATCCGTCTGAGATCAGAGGTCACTTCCACAGAAGGTCGCACTAGGTGATCACTGTAATCATCCAATCGGCGCAAGGCTTCTACATTCTTGCTGAAAGTGATCTAAACATTCAGATTGATATGTGACTTATATATCTCCAAAACGAATATAATCGGGGATTTCCGAATGCCAAAATCAAAACATCTAGTGTTCATTTTATATAAGTGTAGGACTTTCTTTGTATCTGCACTTCAAATGTGAGGTGAGGTGAAATTGGTTTAACTTCGTGCTTGAGAATATTTCGCTCATATGACGACGTGCATGCGTGTGTATGTGTATGTGCGGCTGCTTGTACTAGCCCAGACTTAAGCTGGTTTTATAGTGCTAGCCACTTCAAAGGTAGTACAATATGTTCAGTTAAGGCTTTAATTGGTAACAATCGAAATTGTCCTGTATCTCCACGGCTAGCATTTCAGTAAACCTAAGCTTACCGTAGAATATCATTATCCTGGTTATCGCAGTTACATAATTACATAATTTTGATTTTAATTTGCAAATTTGATTGACAAGGCTGCTAGCGGTGGGTCTGATTGTGTGTTACGGGCTTAAATGTTTGGTTGGATTAACACTGACTGACACGCACAAGAAAACCATCAAACATGGAAAGGATGTCTTAATGTCCACTTAAAACTTGCGGTCCCTTTCCCTTTCTTTTAATTAGTCTGTAAAATGTTAATAAAAATCAAGGGCGGGTAATTCGCAAGAACCACATGAATGGATCCAGGGTTACAGTGTGGGTTTACCGAGATGCGAGCCTATTGTTTGCTATCGGAGTAAAAAATCTGGTTTTATTTATCTGGTAATAATTCGCCGGAATCCTTTTCCCAGAAATTCGGTTACCCACAAGTTTTACTTCAACGACTTTGTTAGATGCTAGTGTTGTTCCTTTTCCAGAATAAGGAATGTTCGTGCCCCATGTGTTTTGTAACCTAGTTCAGTAAGCATGACGGAATATTAGTGGCAGGGACAAATATTCAATTTCTTGTGACCTCACTGATCGAGGGGCAGGAAGTTCATGATCTATGCATATCCAGTTTGGGGTGTTGTACATTTCTTTCTTCTCATGGTCATGTTGGGTGTTTTTCTTTATTTGCAGTTGCTGGTTTGTTCTCTATAAAACGACTTGTATATTTCGTCAAATTACATTGCCGGTTTATATTCAGGGAACGCTGTTGTCTGCCATATATACATGTATACGTACACGTTTATGCAGGACCGGATGATGCAAAGGGAGGCTACTCAAGGTGCGCTTCCTTGATCAGGGTAATGATACGTTGTGCGCTTTAAAAATCCATTTATGTGAGGAGTCTGGTCATTATTTATTATTATTATTATTATTTTGCCGAGGTGTTTGTCATATGTTAGCTGTTGTGAGATCCGGATTAGAATTGATCTTCAGCAACCCATGCTTGTCGTAAAAGGCGACAAACGGGATCGGGTGGTCGGGCTCGCTGACATGGTTGACACGTGTCATCGTATCCCAATTGCATAGATCGATGCTCATGCTGTTGATCACTCTGGCCGAGACCCTATCATTTACAGACCGCCGCCATACAGCTGGAATATTGCTGACTGCGGCGCTAAACAACAAACGAACCAACTAAATGTTGTAGGAAAACGAGTAGGCCTATACTAGATATGCTATATTATGCTAACCGAATCTTCTATATTAATCAAAATTCTAAGATGAACATATATGTCCTGTCTGCACTGTATATAGTTTGAATTCGACATGTGTATATTGTGTGACTTCTTTGACTTGTAATGTATGCCTTTGACGTGAAGTTATTTTGAAGACGATGCATGCGCATGGTGACAGACATATCCACCTGGTCTAATACAAATACCTTTGATATTGAAATGGTTGCCTCTGTAAATAAATGTTTACACAAGATACGTTGGTATGACATAACCAATGAATACCTACTGTGGTGGCTCTTTCGACATGATTTGGTTATACACATGCACTGCACGCACGCACACACGCACACACACACACACACACGTTTGGATGATGTGAAGTATACAGGTTAAAAATGAATTACCCTACTATAACATTTATCTAATCTTCACCACCAGCAGATTTTAACGAATCCACGATACGATATTTCCCGTCTTTGTGAAACGTGCGTAACTGCCTACAAGAGTTGCGTCCCTTACCTGCCTGATCGCAAACACCCATGGTTACAAGTTAACTTTCCGAATTACCAAAGCAAACAATCTAAAATGATTTCATAAGGACACAATACCACCAGTATTGATACTAAAACTAGCAATAATGCTTATCTATAATCTATAACTAAAGTGGTGATTGTTTCTTCAGTTTTACCTGCTACTATGTTGCAATAATATGTAATTAGTTATTACCTGTGTTGCTTACACGAGAGCTTTCACAAACGCAGAAATATTGTTTCGGTGTAAATTCATTTTGCATTAATGTATTTTCCGTGCAAAAGGTTAAAATTAGTTTCTTCAGTTTGTTGTTTGGGGCACAGTATTATCACTGCACGGGGGTTTGTTGGGGGCAACAGAAGGTGAGCAATGCTTGATAGTTTAACATCGGGGGGTAACGGGGGTTATACTTGATAGTTTAACCAACAGAGGGTGAGCAATACTTGATAGTTTAACATCGGGGGGACGGTTATGTAGCCTAGCGGTTAAAGCGCTCGCTCGTTACGCCGAAGACTCGAGTTGGATTCCCCACATGGGTACAATGTGTGAAGCCCATTTCTGGTGTTCCACGTCATATTGCCGGAATATTGCTAAAAGCGGAGTAGAACCAAACTTACTCTACTGCACGGTATTTTAGAAACACTTTGATCTGGCTTCATACTGTACTATAGCTTACCCTTTTCGTTAAGGTTTCGCACAACTGGAAATGTAAACAATTTTTACACTAGTTAATAGTAAATTAATAAAATTCGGCAACTTGCAAGCTTTTGAATATTTCTCCGTCATGTTGCTGAGACTGCTGTTATTAGCTTGTTAATTATGTGTGTTTATTTTTGAATAAAAAGATATATTTTCCTGGCTTTATATCGTGTTGTTGTTTATCTGTTCAAATTTCTCTCTTCGCATCTTCTCTTCTGCCAACCAATTGCGTAGATCGATGTTCATCCTGTTGATCACTGGATTGTCTGGTCCAGATCCGATTATTTACAGACGGACGCCATTACAGACGGAATATTGCTGAGTGCGGCGTAAAACTAAACTCACTCACTATCTTCTGTCAATCATCAGCGGGTCGACACTGGATGATTGAATACAACTGGTGCATTTACTTCCTTGCCGTTACACACAGCTTCCTGTCTCTTTTGATCAAAGAAACGATTGAGAACAATATTTGTATTTTCTGATCAAAGAAACGAATGAGAACAATATTTGTATTTTCTGATAAAAAAACGAATGAGAACAATATTTGTATTTTCTGATCAAAGAAACGAATGAAAACAATATTTGTATTTTCTGATCAAAGAAACGAATGAGAACAATATTTGTAGTTTCTGATCAAAGAAACGATTGAGAACAATGTTTGTAGTTTCTGATCAAAGAAACGAATGAGAACAATATTTGTATTTTCTGATCAAAGAAACGAGGTTCTGATGAAGATGAATATTTGTATCTTTTGATCAAAGAAACGTTGCTCTGATTAACAAAAAATATTTGTACCAATATTTGTGGTACATATATGACTCCTGATTCTATCACTCACCTGACGATGGAGTAAGAATATACTCCGAAACGTCGTGTCCATCACAATAAAGAAGTTGACATCCATAAAAGTCTTGCCTTTAATATTTGTATCTTCTGATCAAACAGACGGTGTTCTGATTAAGATGAATATTTGTATGTTCTCATCAAACAGACGGTGTTTTGATTAAAATGAATATTTGTATCTTCTCATCAAACAGGTGGTGTTCTGATTAAGATGAATACTTGTATCTTCTGATCAAACAAACCTCGTTCTGATTAAAATGAATAGTTTGTATCTTCTGATCAAACAAACGTCGTTCTGATTAAGATGAATATTTGTATCTTCGGTTCAAAGAAACGTCACTCTCAGTAATATGATTAAGGTAGATATTTGTATCATCTCATCAAAGAAACGTCGTTCTGTTTAAAATTAATGTTTGAATCTTCTGAGCAAAACGTTCTTGTTTGAGAGGTAAAGGCAGTGGTATCGCAGGAGCAAGATGAACAAATACAAGGCCACTGTTCGTGCAACAGCCTAGTATTTGAAGCGCACATAAAAATCTTTCTTTTCGGCTTGGTTGCAGGTCCTCGTCTTCGAAGGGATTTGACGTTCTCAACAATACATTTCACATAACCTGAAACCTGATTCTATTCTTCTTTTGAACTAAATTGTGGTTCAAAGCGTTTGCTCGTCACACCGAGAGGTTCGAATCCTCTATTTGGTACAAAGTGTGTCTGTGAGGCCCCGCAGGGGCGGTGGGGTAGCCTAGTGGTTAAAGCGTTGGCTCGTCACGCCGAAGACCCGGGTTCGAATCCCCACAAGGGTACAATGTGTGAAGCCCATTTCTGGTGTTCCCCGCCGTAATGTTGCTGGAATATTGCTTAAAGCGGCATAAAACCAAACTCAGTCAGTCAGTCAGTGTGAGGCCCCGCTGTGTTATTGCTGGAAGATTGGTAAATGAGGCGTAAAATCTTAATCACTCACTTATTCATTATTATCAGGCAGACCTTCAATCTCAATATAACTGTGATCGTGCACCATTGAGGAAATTCCAATACTTTGATGAATTACTCGAACCCATAAACCCAGATAACCATACACGATCCTGTATGTCGTGACAGCGTGATTTGTGTTCCTGACATTGTTCAATATTCGCAGTGACCCCCTCGAATGGATTTTTTCTTATAAGCTGAGTTACTCGGAGCACTGGTCCCAGGGACACAGAACTAACAGGTTGGACGTGAATCGTGAACGGCGTTTGTTTTTATCGCAAACTAGACCACGATCGGGCCACAATCAAGGCACAACCAAGGCACAACTTCACCACAAGGAACAAACTCCTAAAAAGCAAAGCACAACCAAGTCACAATCAAGTCACAACCTGACCGATGTGAAGGCACAACGAAGGCAAAATCAAGGCACAACATCACCACAATCAAGGCACATACCTGGTCACAGTCAAGGCACAATCAAAGCACAACCTGACCACAACCAAGTTACAATCAAGGCACAACCAGGTCACAAGATGAAGGCACAGCCAAGTCACATTTAAGGTACAATCTGACCTAAATCAAGGCACAATCTGACCTCAATCAAGGCACAACCAATTCACCGTTAAGGCACAATCTGACCTAAATCAAGGTTTTAAGGCAATCAAGGCACAACCAATTCTGACCTAAATCAAGGCACATTTAAGGTACAATCTGACCTCAATCAAGGCACAACCAATTCACAGTTAAGGCACAATCTGACCTAAATCAAGGCACATTTAAGGTACAATCTGACCTCAATCAAGGCACAACCAATTCACAGTTAAGGCACAATCAAGGCACAATCTATTCAATCAAGGCACAAACCTATTCACAGTTAAGGCACAATCTGACC